ACTCATTCCCGCAGTGTGTGTGTGTGTGAGGGCGAGCGGATCGCAGCAGCGCCTCCCAGCGGCTCCAGTCTCACACTCACACACACACACACACACACACACACACACACACAGCCTGCAGGAGTCCATGCTCCACTGTACACAGTCCCTCAGCTCATCACCAACACAAGTGACAACCATATTCAAACACAGAATATAATAATGTGCATAAATATTACATAAAACATCGTCTGGACAAAATGTGAGTGAGCTGTACTTGCAGAAACTCATTGTCACGATGTTAAAGTTGTCTTGACAGTTTCCCAGTATTTGAAAGCTGTTGTTAGTGCATTGCTAGGCATAGGCCTATGGACGCCCCTTTCCGCCACTGAATAAACAATAAAAAAAAGGTTATTGCGACTTTTTATTTCACAATTCTTACTTTTTTTCTCAGAATTGTGGGATATCAACTCGCAATTGCGATTCTGAGGGGAAACTGATATGTTCTCAGAATTGTGTTTATATCTCGCATTTCTGACTTTATTTCTCAGAATCAGAATTGCGAGTTTATTTCTTAGAATTGCTCAGCTCAGTGAGTTTATATCGCACAATTCCGAGGCACACTAGGCAGCTGCCAGACTGCTTTTTTATTTATTTATTTTATTTATTTATTTTTTGCGGGCAAAAAGATCTACTGTCTATCCACCTTTTCCTGCGCCCCATATGCTTTTGCCATATGTTTTGTTGAGTGCGCGCGCGTTGGCTGACTGAATTCTGGACTCTTGCAAATTCTCTCATCATAAACAACAAAGCGCAGATGTACGTACAATGTAAGTAAGAGATTCATTCCACAGTGTATAAAGCTTCAGTGATTATAACGATAGTTTTTTTTTTGGAGAGTGCTTAAACTCGCCATAGATCAATGTTAGTGATAATGTCACTTTCTATATATAATTTATTCGCTGTTTGAATAACCAAGGAAAGGAAACGTTATATACTTATCAATTTCTAACGTTTTTATTACATTGCAATCACGTTAAATACTAATTCAGTCCCATTAAACATTTTTTTTAGCCTACATGACACCCATGTCTTGTTATTATCTAAAAAGACGGGTTTATGATGTTTAATACATTTGGCTGGTTTTAGCCTTACCCTGGAGTTGGTTCACTATGATATCACGTCACATTAATATACCAAACGTAACGTTATTCTCTTCTGAAAATAGAAAATGAATGAAAATGTACAGCCCATTCAGTCAAAATGACAGATAGGGATTATTTGTAGCTCATTCTTGAAATGATTTTTTGCAGTCTTTTTGAGTGGAACCCCAACCCGGAAGTGCCTCCCATAATTTAAAACGCAGTATAGGCACGTTAGGAAAAAGGTATTGCATAGCGATTTATGAAGCACTGCTCCAACAGAAGTCACTTTCAACCCAAGCTTTCTGTTGATCAGAGGAGCGGAAGAGTTTGTTTCGTCACCGGAACAGCGTTACATCACTGGAGAAAGCGTTACTGTGGATTATGAACTGGCATTTTGGCCAGATTTATCACAAAAATGCAGCTTTTCACATTACAAGACATTAACTGATGGACTGGAGTGGTGTGGATTATTGTGATGTTTTTATCAGCTGTTTGGACTCTCATTCTGACGGCACCCATTCACTGCAGAGGATAGAGACAGTGATGTAATGCTACATTTCTCCAAATCTGTTCTGATGAAGAAACAAACTCATCTACATTTTGGATGGCCTGAGGGTGAGCGCATATTCAGATTTTAATTATTTAATTAATTGTTCATTTTTTATTTTTTGGGTGAACTGTTCCTTTAAGGCTGGCCACTTGAAAGAGTAGTAAAGTAAAATCACCTCTCCAAATCATGATTATGTTTTGCCAGAAAAAGAAAGTATGGGATACAATAATATGGGGAATGATAATAATAATAATAATAATGATTATAAGAAGAAGAAGAAGAATATGTGTGACCCTGGAGCACAAAACCAGTTTTAAGTCGCTGGGGTATATTTGTAGCAATAGCCAACAATACATTGTATGGGTCAAAATTATCAATTTTTCTTGTATGCCAAAAATCATTAGGATATTAAGTAAAGATCATGTTCCATGAAGATATTTAGTAAATTTCCTACCGTAAATATATCAAAACTTAATTTTTGATTAGTAATATGCATTGCTAAGAACTTCATTTGGACAACTTTAAAGATGATTTTCTCAATATTTTGATTTTTTTGCACCCTCAGATTCCAGATTTTCAAATAGTTGTATCCAAATATTGTCCTATCCTAACAAACCATACATCAATGGAAAGCTTATTTATTCAGCTTTTAGATGATGTATAAATCTCAGTTTCGAGAAACTGACCCTTATCACTGGCTTTGTGATCCAGGGTCACATATGTGTATCGGTAAAATAAACAAACAGTAATTGTCACATTCATTAAGCAATGACAGCTTGTCTAACTTTATTGTTTTTAGAAACCTTCAGGCTCAAAAGAGTTAAAAAAGGGCCTTCTGGAAATGGATGAAATTATATCTGCTGAATATAAAATTTCCATAGTTAGAAAGTCAGGCTTAAAGACGGTAAATTGAATAATGAATCTGTCCGTTAGACCAAATCTTACATGTTAGTGATCTCTGTAATTAACCAAGCAGATGGTGTTAGAGAGCTGCTGTGCTGTCCTTCATCTGTCGTGTGCTATTGTTCTCCAGACTCATCCAGGTGTGAGTAATTATCCATATGCACACATGACCATCATCATGTGAAGAGGGGCCTCACCCAGGGGCCTGTTGCTGCCAGACAAAGATGCTCCTGAGATAAGTGGGTTCTTCAGGGAATATCACAGAACGAGGAGCTCCAGCCATATGACAGACCTGTTATTGCATCATCAATAGTAATAATCTTCCTCAAGGAGTTTCTGCTCTCACTAATCTGGACTGACATTAATATTTATTGTTCGAAATGCTTTTATTCATTGTACTTTCATTGAAATGTACTTTTATTCAGCAAGGATGCATTAAAGTGATCAAAAGCACCACTAATGATAATCAGAGATTCTTGAGCAGCAAATCAGCATATTATACTGATTTCTGATGATCATGTGACACTGAAGACTGGAGTAATGATGCTGAAAATACAGCTGCGCATCACAGAAATAAATTACAGTTTAAATAGTGCTGTCAAATGATTAATCGCGTTCAAAATAAAAGTTTTTGTTTACATAAATTGTTTGCGTGCTGTATATTTATTATTTATATATAAATACACACACATGCATGGATATATTTACGAAAAATATGTTATGTTTACATATTAAATATATTTATATATAATATAAATATATACATGTAGATATTTTCAAAATATATACTGTATGTGTGTGTATTTATAAATACATAATAAATATACACAGTACTCATACATATATTATGTAAATAAAAACGTTTATTTTGGACGCGATTAATCGTATGACAGCACTAATTAAAAAAATATATTCAAATATTAAACAGCTATTTTGAATTGTAATATTATTTCACAATTTTACTGTTTTTACTGTAAATTTTATTTTTAAAATGAAGCCTTGGTAAGCATAAGACACTTAAAAAAAACATTGAAATAATATTACGGGCTCCAAACCTTTGAACAGTAGTGTACGCAGTCAAATGTGTAAGAAGAGCATGGTAGCAGGAACACGCTGAACTTTGAAAGGTAGTGTATTGATCGTCATATAGAGCAGGAGCTAAATGTGTTTTTAACATTTGGCTCCCCGAGGTCCTCATTATGAAGATGTGATACACAGCACTAGAGGGACTCGGCAGTCCCTGAACATTGTTTTCCACTGTGTTTAAAGACGGTAAACATTCAAAGCTGAACTTAAACTTCACACCTTTGCATCAAAACATTTCCTACACTGAAAGCCAAGCGATTCTGAGCGTACATTACTACCCCCTCGAATAACTACAATGCTCATCATTTATACCATTACATAACAATTCACAACAAACATTATGTGAAGGAGAGAAATATTCAAGGTTTTTAAAATGTTTATTTGATTTTCTTCATTTTGTTACACACTGTCCATCAGCCAGTCTCTCTCATGTATTAAACATGCATTTCCACCTCAGTTTACCTTCAAACTCTTCCATATGGCCCTGTGCGCTTTCTTTTCTCATCTACAACATTTCTACAACATATAACCTCACATTTCCTTTTAATCCAACAGCAACCAAACTATAAATAAACATCTTATATCATACATTTCAATACAATACTTTCAAGAGAGAAAAAAAACAAACAAGAAATGAAAAATGTAAATGTAACAGAATAAAAGACTTTTATAAACTGAACGCTGCACATCTGACAATACTGAAAACCACCAGACACGTTTTTGGCACAGATTGTTCTCTTTACAGCATAAGTTGTCGGTTTTGGCGGCGCACACAAAAACACTATGACAGAGATTTGCGCTGATCTGCATGGCACAAGAGACGTTCTGTTGACGCTAACAAACTGCTACAGAAGAGTTTATGTACAAAACTGATATTTCCACCACAATGTCAATCCTCCAGAACTGAGCTCCTTTCAAAGTGCTTCACAGAAATCATTCGTGGATTAGTTTTAATATTCATCATTGGATCTGGCTCTGACATCGACTGTGTGCTCAGACATACTCTATGAGATGAATATGTGTGAATATGCTGTCAAACGATTAATCGCGATTAATCGCATCCAAAATAAAAGTGTTTGTTTACATAATATATGTGTGTATATTTATAATGTATATATAAATACAAACATGCATGTATATATAAGAGAAATATGTTGTTTATATATTAAATATTAAATATATAAAATATATATAAATTTATATATAATATAAGAATATAAATATATAAATGTATATACATGTAAATATTTTCAAAATATATACAGTATGTGTGTGTATTTATATATACACACCACAAAAACGTTTATTTTAGATGCGATTAATCGCGATTAATCGTGTGACAGCACGAAATACTGTGATCGCCCTTTACTCGTGAAAACATTCGACTGGTCATTTTTTATTAGTGATTATACGGAACGAACGTGGAACAATATTTCACCTTTTACACCGACGTGACTGTTTTCTTGCGCAGACAGCAGTGCATTTCAGTTGCAGACAGCGAGATTAAAGTGAAACGGTGGACCCAGATGCTCAGTTTCTGAACGATTGCCACGAACAAGCAAGGCACAGAATAACACAGAACCATGGACAGCAGCGTCAGTCTCCGAGAAGTGCTTCCTTTTCTGCAACACAATACTGAACAGGATGGCTCATGTTTTCACAGGCGTGAGGGTTAGGTCTGTCGGGTCCATCTGTGGGCACTCGGCGCTAGCGTCAGCACTGCAGTCTGAGCACCGAGCTGCTGTCTGTGGGTTCACAGCTTCTTTGGCCTGTCGAATGCAGTTGAGCCACTGCTGTTTATTGAAGGCATCGCTGGCCTGGAAGCAGTGCGTCTGCAGCTGTCCTCCGCTGCGAAACGCCACCCGGAAAAAGTTCTTGGCTGGAGGGAGACAAACATGTTTACAGCAGCTCTTTAGGCATCTGTAGTTCTGTGCAAAGCATTCACAGCATGTAGATTAAGACGGGGATTTTTGATGCCTGGGACTCCAGATACACTACTGGTCAAAAGTTTGGAATAATTCCCCAATAATTCTTAGAATTAAGTCTCTTCTGCTCACCAAAGCTGTATAAATATAAATATTTGCTGTAAAATAATATATTTTAAAAGAACAGTTTTCTATTCCAATATATGTTCAAATGTAATTTATTTCTGTGATCAAAGCTGTATTTTCAGAATCATTACTCGAGTCTTCAGTGTCACATGATCTTCAGAAATCAGTATAATATGACGATTTGCTGCTCAAGACACACTGTAAAACACAGATTCCCTCACATATAGAGCCAGATGCTTGCGTCGTGTGGCGCGCATAATTCAAGACTGTACCCATCCTGGAAACATCCAGTTTACACTGCTACCTTCTGGGAGGCGCTACAGGGCTATCCAGGCCCGCACCTCCAGGCTTAAGAACAGTTTTTATCCACGTGCCATTAGAGAACTAAATGCATAATTACAATGGACTTTTTCTAATACTAATGTTTGATGTCTTTATATTCTTTTGTATGTTTCTTACCACATACAAAAGACGGCCTTTGGGACAAGACCACGGGAGTCCTCTGCACAATCTGACTCTGCTGCAGCCTAGATTTAAACTGGGTTTGTCTGGCCAGAGGAGAAAGACACACTATTTCCCCATTTGATACTGTAAAGCTGCTTTGACACAACTTGCATTGTAAAAAGCACTATATAAATAATGGTGACTTGACTTGACTCGACAAGGAGTTGCATTTGAATTTCATTGTACAATTGTGCAGAGCCGGACTGGGACGTACATATTAGAACACCGTACATATTAGTACCTTAGAGTAGTAATTCATACCCTTAAGGTACTAATTTGTAGGCCTGCCTATTAGGGGTAAAAAAAGGAACAAAGATGTCCTTTTAAGGGTCCTGTTCCAGTGACAAGCTGTTGTACCCCAAAAGGTGCAATTTTGGCCCCTTATTTCCTGTATATAGCCTATACATCCACAACCATTTCTGAAACCAGACAACCCTATTATTTGTATGGCCATCACATAAAAAAGGTCTAAATCCTTAGTCATTTTTTACATTAAAAACAGAATAGAAGTCTCTTCTGCTCACCAAGCCTGCATTTATTTGATCCAAAGTACAGCAAGAGCAGTAATATTGTGAAATATTTTTACTATTTAAAATAACTGCTTTTGATTGGAATATATATTTAAAACGTAATTTATTCCTGTGATCAAAAAGCTGAATTTTTATCATTACTCAAGTCTTCAGTGTCACATGATTCTTCAGAAATCATTCTAATATACTGATTTGTTGTTCAAGAAACATATTTGTTGTTATTATTATTATTATTATTATTATTATCAATATTTAAAACAGTTGAGTACATCAGGATTCTTTGATGAATAAAAAGATCCAAAGAACAGCATTTATCTAAAAAATAAAAAGATTTTGTAATGCACTATACTTGGAGTCAGTATAATTTTTTTTGGGGGGGGGTTATAGAAATTATTACTTTTATTTAGCAAGGATGCTTTAAATTGATCAAAAGTAACTGCTTTCGATTGGAATATATATTTAAAATGTAATTTATTCCTGTGATCAAAAAGCTGAATTTTTATCATTACTCAAGTCTTCAGTGTCACATGATTCTTCAGAAATCATTCTAATATACTGATTTGTTGTTCAAGAAACATATTTGTTGTTATTATTATTATTATTATTATTATTATCAATATTTAAAACAGTTGAGTACATCAGGATTCTTTGATGAATAAAAAGATCCAAAGAACAGCATTTATCTAAAAAATAAAAAGATTTTGTAATGCACTATACTTGGAGTCAGTATAATTTTTTTTTTGGGGGGGGGGTTATAGAAATTATTATTTTATTTAGCAAGGATGATTTAAATTGATCAAAAGTCATGATAAAGACATTTATAATGTTACAATCATTTCTCCGAAGTACAGCAAGAGCAGTAATATTGTGAAATATTTTTACTATTTAAAATAACTGCTTTTGATTGGAATATATATTTAAAACGTAATTTATTCCTGTGATCAAAAAGCTGAATTTTTATCATTACTCAAGTCTTCAGTGTCACATGATTCTTCAGAAATCATTCTAATATACTGATTTGTTGTTCAAGAAACATATTTGTTGTTATTATTATTATTATTATTATTATTATCAATATTTAAAACAGTTGAGTACATCAGGATTCTTTGATGAATAAAAAGATCCAAAGAACAGCATTTATCTAAAAAATAAAAAGATTTTGTAATGCACTATACTTGGAGTCAGTATAATTTTTTTTGGGGGGGGGTTATAGAAATTATTACTTTTATTTAGCAAGGATGCTTTAAATTGATCAAAAGTGATGATAAAGACATTTATAATGTTACAAAAGATTTCTAATTCAGATAAAACCTGAAAAAAAATCTAATCTGTTTTCAACATAATAATAATAATAATAATGTTAAATGTTAATAATAAATGTTTTTTGAGCATGCTGAAAATTCAGCTTTACATCACAGAAATAAATTACATTGTAATAGAAATATTTCACAATATTACTGTTTTTGCTATATTTTGGATCAAATAAATGCAGGCTTAGTGAGCAGAAGAGACTTCTTTAAAAAACATTAAAAATCTTACTGTTCAAAAACTTTTGACTGGCAGGGTATTAAAACACAATTTCTAAAGTGCCTAAATGTCAAAATTAGTAGAATATATTTGTTGAAAAAGTCTAATACACTATTGAATTATTAGGCTGTGAGCCTGTTACTCATATTATTTTTGTGTTGCTGTCTCTAGCTCCCTCCCTCCTTGTATAATAAATCCATGTGAATATCTGTCTCTGCTAATTTTTTTAATGTAACTTTACAATCGATATTGATGTCCTTTAGCACAATATTCTGAATGATGATAATAATGGGGTGCTACTGTACTGATACTAGCAGTTTAACACTCAACTACGTTAATAAAGACAACTAGCGTATTTACAGATGAAACTGACCTGCACTTGTAGCCCTGAACAGGTCAGTGATGTTGCTACATTTCACTGCTTCTTCTGGCCGCTTCCTCTCTTTCATCGAGACCCGCACATCGGTTCTGTTTGGAATCGTTTGACGGAAGCGCGGAACACAAGTGAGCTGATTCGTAAAGCGCAGCGCTGACAATCAAGACTAACCGATTTATGACTTATTATCGATTTATTATCGAATGAAAAAATCGGAAATGATCACTTTGGTACATTGAGAAGGCGTAAATAGAAAACATTAATAATAATAACTAAAAAATAAAAAATAAAACAGGGCAGCGGGCCAAATCAGCCGCCAGGCCACCGGGATTTCTGCCGGTGCTCCCGATGGCCAGTCCGGGCCTGCAATCGTGCAATGACAATAAAGTATTCAATTCAATTTCTAATTATTATTATATTATTATATGTTAAAAACAAGTTATTGCTGCTTAATATTTATGTGGAAACCCCAAACTTTTAAATGGTACTAGTTTAAATAGAATTTCATCAATCAATCAATCAATCAATCTTTTCAGTAAGTATGTTACAAAAATGTTACAAAAGATTTCTATTTCAAATTCATGCTGTTCTTTTGAACTTTTTATTCAAATAATCCCGAATCATGGCTTCCACAAAAATGGTTAAGTAGCAAAGACTGTTTCCAACATTGATAATAACAAGAACCACTATTAATAATTTGGCACCAATAATAATGAATTAATAATCAACAAATCAGCCTATCATATGTGAGCAAATTCAGATTTGTCATCACAGAAATAAATTACATTTTAAAATATAACAGTTCTTTTAAACAGTAATACAATTTCACAATATTCATATTTTACAGAATTGTTTGATCAAATATATCCCTTTTTGATGATTTATCAAAATAAACAACCAAAGTTTTGACCGGTAGTGTAAGATGATCCCCTTACAAATGGCCCTCTTCCTAAAATATAAAGGCAGCTATATTTTCATGCATAAAGACTAAAGATGTCACTTTCTCGAAACATTCCCGCAGAAATCCCGCAGGATTTCCCAGACCTCAGTTTGACTCATTCAGAATTTGTTTGCTATCACACTGTAAATACCCAGGCCATTTTTGTGCGGTGTGTTAATATTCTGGGCCTGGTGAGTTTGGGACTCACTGCGCTCGCTGTTGCTGAAGGCTCCTCTGATGGATCCTCCGAGGCGCATCTCTCCGTCCTGCAGGTCTTCCCACTCCAGATCTCTGACGGGGATGGGCTGCCGGTGAAGCTGATAGCACAGCTGCTCATTCTGGGTGACGGCCCGGGTGACCACCAACACGTCCTGAAACAGGAACACATGCAGCTTCTGCAGAAACACAGAGATGTGATTCAGTACGGAGTACAGCTCCTTAAAGGGTTAGTTCACCCAAAAATGAAAATTAGCCCACAAATTACTCACCCTCAAGTCATCCTAGATCACTTTAATCTAGCTTGCGCTCAATGTTGTACACGGAAGCAGTTCCGGGCGGATGACGTATGAGGTCAGCTTTGTGCATGCGCCGCTCAGAAGTGACGAACGCGGAAGCGCAGCGGAGAGATCAAAACAAAACAACGGTCACTAATTAGAAGTACAAAACGAGGATTTCACTAAATAATTATTTTTTATGGATGGGCGCTTTTTATTTAACTT